ACACAAAGATAAGTGGGGAGAAAAAAAGAAAGACACCACCATTTTTAAAAATGAGTAAGTAGAGAAAGGTGGTAGGAACTCCATGCTTTTGAAAAATTTTTCTCTTTCCTCATCAGTTTAAAATATACAGTAAACTGCTTATCAAACTGAATTAAATTGACAGTCAGGATTAATGATCCATTAATGATTGTGTTTATAAAGTGCTAGGAGATCTTTGGGTTGAAGGCTACTAGATCATTAGTCATAAAAGCACAGTACTAGGGTACAGTGGAATCATTTCTGCTTTTCAAAGTTCTCTTAGCCCAGGGGACACTTTATTCCAAGTGGCAGTGTCTGTCTCATCTGAGCTAGTCACAGCAGAAAAATTGTGCGGAGCTGTCCACATTGGGCTGGCCACATACCCAGACACTGGAGACCCACAGCCACTCTGCTCTCAGCCTCCCCTCTGCAACCTTTTCCATGCTGCCCGCACCAGCTTGTATTCCAGGTACAGTGGTGGTGGGCTAGGAACGCCACCTTCTGGGAGCCAGTCTGGGTCTGGCAAAAGACCCACTGTGACTCTTGACTGCACCATGGCAGTGATGAAGTTTCAAGTTTTGTCCATCTCATTTTCTCCATGTCTGCACAGCTCTCAGAGAACAGACCTTCACAACTGAAATGGAATTGCGGTCTAAGCTTCTGGGCGGGAAACTTCTTCTCAGCCCTGAAAGCCTTTCACTGCGATGAGCCTGGATGGGTCAGGATTATTTTCTCAGACACTCAGAATAAAATTTGTTTGTGTAAGTAAACTTCCTTGTTTATAATGGAGTCTGGTGACAAAAACAGCTCATGTTTTACAAAGAGAAAGGACTAATGTGTATGTTTCAAAATGTCTAACATTTCAAATCCCAAGCACAAGTTAGACCACTGACATAAGAGTCAGGAAAACTGGAAGATCTGGGTTCAAGTCTTGCCTCTGACAAATACAGCAGTGTGACTCTGGGCATGTTACTTAAACTGAGTTTCTCAGGCCACTCTCTAAGACTATAAGTTGCAGGGGCCAACCTATGTGGGTAAATAATAATGGCTTATTTATATAGCACTTTCAAGTTTGCAAAGTATTTAACATATATTATTTGATCATCACAATAACCCTGTGAAATAGGTGCTATTATTAGCTCTATTTTATAGATGAGGTAACTGAGTTCAGGTTAATAACATTTGATTAAAATGAATAATATTTCAAAGGTATCCAGAGACTTCAAAAAGTCCTACAATCATTGCCAACTTCTAAACTCTTTCCAAATACAACATTTTAAAAAAATGAGTTTCTGGACAACCAAGTCATATCAGCAATGGAAGCCTCAGGAGAGTTTTCTCATCTGAAGAAATTGAGTTTGCCAAACATCCAGGGAATAGACCAAAGCAGGTATTAAGGCTTGGTATGTATTATATACTAACCAGCCATCGCAAAACTGTTTAACTTCAACTTTGCTGTAACTAACCTGCAAATTTAGCCATGAGAATCTGAGTGCCCAGTTTCTAAAAGCCATTTGTTAAATGGCAAGAGGCTATTTAGAAATATGCTCATTTAGGACTGATGGTGTTTTGGTTCCTTAAGGCAGTACATTATCAAAACCATGTGGTTAGACAAATTTAATAACTAGGTAGTTTCTGTAACAAATTTTAAAATTGGGATCATTTTGTGGTTACAAACTCAAGCTGCTTTTTATTCCACATCTTAATTTTGATACAATGTAGGTGCATATCATTTATGTAATCTAGGGATTAGTACATACTCAAAAAGTTTATTTCTTTAAAAATTACATTTTAATAAAACTATTTTATGTTACATTTTTCATTTTACCAGTCACTCTTTGCTTAAAACAAATTTGAATTTGATTTCAAATTTGGAATGATGATTAAATGATGACATTTTACATTAAATTTTTTTATTCTGCATTCAATGTCTACCTCCCAAAAAGAACTTTTTTTTGGGCAATTGGGGTTAAGTGATTTGCCCAGGGTCACACAGCTAGTAAGTGTCAAGTGTTTGGTCTGAGGCTGGATTTGAACTCAGGTCCTCCTGACTTCAGGGTCGGTGCTCTATCCACGTACCACCTAGCTGCCCCCAAAAAGAACAGTTTTTTAAAAAAATTACATCATACAAATATATATGCATAGCACATATATATATGTGTGTATATTTATAAATATATGTATACATATGTATATAGGTGTATATATATATGTATAAAATAGAATGGGAAATAGATATATGAAACTGTAAATCTTTATTATGTTTGGCTTCCTTTAAAAAAAAAGTATATTATAAATTCCCTATGTTACTTTCTAAGCTGTCCTGGATAAAGAAGTTACTTAACATTTAATTATGGGCCAGGCCCTGGGTTAAGTACTAGAGATACAAGACAGTAAGACAGTCCCTGACCTCAAGCTCACTTTTTTTTTTTTGGGTGAGCAATCGGGGTTAAGTGACTTGCCCAGAGTCACACAGCTAGTGAGTGTTAAGTGTCTGAGGCCACACTTGAACTCAGGTCCTCTGGACTCCAGGGCCGGGGCTCTATCCACTGTGTCATCCAGCTGCCCCGAGGAGCTTACATTCTAACAGGGGAAGACAAGTCACACAGGGAAGCGAGGGTATGGTTTGGAAATAGTGGCTAAGAAGTAACTTGGAGGCCTGCTTCCGGGCCAGGTTGAGCTAACAGCCTGGAGACAGCAGGTGGTTCTGCGGGCTCGAAGGCAGTTTGGTCCCACATCTTCCTTCTCGTTCCCGCCTCCCTTCGTTGAGTTGCTCCTTGCCCCTTGCTTTACTGAGAACATTGAGGCCATTTGAATGTTCTCTCCCTCTCTTCATCTCAGGGCCCTGGTTTCACCCTGCTTCATCTCTTCCTTCGCCCAATCTAATGGTAGAGGAGACCCTTCCGTTTGCCCAGGCCCGTCCCTGTGTGTGCCTGATCTCATCCCCTCTAGTCTCCTCCTCAATCATCTGGCTTATTCTAATCCACTTCTTATCTCCTAGTTCCTTTCTCCCTGCCTTCAAAAATACTCCCCCACGCTTGAAACAATGTTCACTAGACCTCCCCATCCCCTCTAGCTATCGTCCTGTATCTCTCCTCCCTTTCTCAGCCAGACTCTGTGAGAATAGTCTACACTCTCTGCCTTGGCTTCCTCTGCAATCTGGCTTCCAACCACTCCACCGAGCCCGTTCTCTCCCGGAGATCTCTTTGCCCAATCTGGTGGCATCTTCTCAGTCCTCATCCTTTTCCACCGGCTATCTACCCCCTCCTCCTGGATACGCTCTTCTCTGGTTTCTGGGACACCGCTCCTGACCTGTACCTGACTGCTTCTTTTCAGGCTCCTTTACAGCTTCATCATCCAGATCACAGTAGCTATGGCTGTTGCCCCAACATTCTCTCCTATACTCTGCGCTCTTACGACTCATCAGCAATCTGGGGTTTAATTACCACCACTAAGCAGGTGACTCACAGATACATAGATAGCATCTACCTCCTAGGGTCCTTTGTTGTAACACAACACGCATAGTGCTTGGCGAACCTCCAAGAGCTGTATAAATGCTATTAGAGTTGTATCAATGCTATTATGGAGTCAATGAAAACTCGTGTGCAAAACTGAACTCATCTTTCCCCATATATCCACCCTTCCTGCAAACTTCCCTACTTCTGTCCAAGGCGCCACCCTCCTTTCAAGGTCCGCAAGTTTGTAACGTCAGCCTTATTCTGGACTCCTCACTTTCCCTCACCCCAAATATTTCATGAGTTGCCAAATCTTGCTTTCGCCTGCACAGCTTTTCTTGAAACCAACCCTTTTCTCCACCTACAGTGCCCGCCTTTTGGAGGCCCTCATCACCTAGATTATTCTAACAGCTTCCTAACTCTCCCTGTCCCAAGTCTATTCTATACACTCCTGGCAAAGGAATACTCCCTAAGTCCAGTTCTGACCACGTGACTCCCCTCAACCAACCCCAGAGCTCTCGAGGCCTTTGCCACCTGGTCCCGCCCTTCTTTCCAGGCTCATTGGGTATTCTTCTCCCTCCCACATCCTGCAACCCCACCAAACTGGCATCTTTCCTCCTTCCCCCCACAACCCTGCATCTGGTCTCTGCTGCTTTGCAGGAGTGATCCCTCATGTTTGGGGTGCTTTCCTTCCTTTGCCTCCCTCTCTTCCTTTAATATTGATGCAGATCAACCCCCGTCTTCTGCCCTTAGCCTTCTGGGAATCTCCCCACCTGCTCATGCCCTCCCTCTCAAGTTACCTTGTGTTAGCATCATGCTTTTTTCCACCCTGCACCAGCCCATGACGGCCCAGGGCATGACCTTCTCTGCCCCTCTAACCCCCCAGAATTTCAGCTCCTTTTTTATGATGGGCCATTTTCCTTCATTAGAATGGAAACTCCTTGAGCAAGGGCTGCTGTTTGTATTTCTATTGTCAACACTCAGTATAGTGCCTGGCACCTAGTAAGTACTTAATAACAGCTTCATCCAGTTACCTTAGTATGTATAGGTATGTATTCATTCTATATTTATGCAGTATTTATTTGTATAGATACTTGTTTTTTTTCCCAACATCACATTAGCTCCTTTCAGGTTGGGATTGTTCCATTCTCCGTATCTGTATCCCCACGTGGGACCTGGCACATAGTAGGTACTTAATAATGCCCTTGCTTGACTGATTGAGATGGATGGGAAGTGACATGGAGGCCTGGTTCCCAGTGAGATAAAGCAAAAGCTGAGCTGTGGAACTGGGGCACTCAGAGCATGGCCTAGGGAGATGTGGTAGGACAGGAAGGGGATGAGAACCGTGGCTGGAGGTCAAGTGGCAGAGTTTGGAAATGGGGGTTCAGAAGTGGAAAACACCTATGACTTGTACCGACTCTGTGATGATCCAAGTCAGGAAAGGCTTAAAGGGAGAGGGCTGGGAAACTGCTATTTTGCTCATCTAGCAATCTCTGCATTAAACATGTAAATGAAATAAATACAAAGTAGCTTGAAAAATATATTTTAATCCAAAAGTTTTAAGCATTAGTGTATCTCAGTTATTTACAACGACATTTACAGTGACTCACAACCACTCCTGTGGAAGACATAGAGTGCTAAAATAAATTTTAAGACTCAACTACAGCCAATTCTACCGGACACAAGCCAGAGTGTGTACAGGAAAGGGACGAAAGACAGATGAATATGTTAAAATCAGGGGAATGAAATGTCACTCACAGCTTTTGCCTGACAAGTGGGCGGCTTCAATCAGAGCCAAAGGAAAGGCCCTTGTTGTAGGCTGGCGCTGAGCTCCCTTTGCTCTCACCCAACTAACATATCAACGAGAAAGATTTCTAAGATCCTTTTTTAAAGGATTAGGATTTGGTCATATGGTACACTAATAGCCTTTAGTCTGATCTGGTAATGAGAAGCAGCTTTGAACAAACGGAGGAGGTAGGGAATGTGGTCACCCTTTACAAACGTTTCTACCATCAACAACTAGCCAACCTAACCACTCCTGTGCCACTTTTAGGAATATCCAAGGTTGCCTGGAATAAGCAAAGAAAGGCATCAGCTCAAACTTTGCTGGAAAGCTTTTTATGAAATATCTGGTATGCCCAGACTCCTCCCCCAAAGCCCTTCTACTCTAATTCTAGCTACCATATTAGTTTTAGGTCATATTTACAATTCAGTAATGTACACTCAATGTATGTCACCGTAGGATTTCCTGTTTAATCTGTGAGACATGGTTATGTTCATTTCACGGGGCATGGCACAGGGTCACTATTTTAAATATAACAAAACGTTTATAGTTTTGTATTTGTTTTTATGACATTGGTCAAACTCAAACTTACTGGGGTCCAAGGGCTAAGTATCAACTAAGTAATACTTTGGGATGAGAAGCCAGCACCCGCATCATCACACTGATGGCAAGAATCTATCCTGTGAAAGGCAGGGGCCACCTCCATCAGAAGCTTCCTCCCCTGCAGGATATCCTAGCTCAGCAAAGGAGACACCTATCCTATTCTACCCTAGTCTATACAGGTACCTCTTCAGAGTAATTCTTAAAAAAGACTGATTAAAAATGAGTGAAGAAAAAGCTAAGAAGATACCATTTACCTATGTGGTAATAATAAAAGGTTTTTTAAAAAGTTATTTCTTCAGCTATCCTCCAATTTCAGTAAGTACACTGCTGGACATCTTGTAATGGTGTGCACAGAGGACAGAGGAAAATGGAGTCTTAAAAAGCCATCCTAGATTACATGTTGTTGGCAACTGTTTCCTTAATGGTTATTGCAGGAGTAGGCCCAACGTGAGTCCATATGTACCCTTTCTCTGGTCTAGTGGGAACAGTGGGGAATGGTGAGGATCGAGACTTGAAATATTCTGAAGGTGCATGACAAACAAATTCCAAATATTCCATCTTCCTTGGAAGATCCTCTTCTGGTCCTGTAAGAACCAGGAAAGTTACACTTACAAAGAGATGATTACGAGGTCACTATAACAATCAAAATTCCTCATTCCTAGCTTACTGCTGCTGATAGGGACACCAGGTCCCAAGGTGTACGTGGGAGCCATTCTGGGCAATGGTGTAGCAGATGTTCCCTAGTGTTACTTACAATGGCAAAGAAAGGCAGACTAAATTCCTCTCACACAAGAGGAGGCAGCAGTCAGCTGAATGAATCTGGGGGACCCTAAAAAGCAGCATCCTTGCGGCTCTCCCACGGATTGTCCTGGAAATCTTCTTTATAGTAAGTGTTTTGGAAAATATAAAACTGCAGCTCATGTTACTTGGAGAAATCTCGTGCACACCTGTGTTTTAAACACGGTAGCTGCTGTGTAACTAAAACCATGAAATACTTAACTCTTCTTCCTGTGAATCAGACTTTCACACTCTCTGCGCACAATGGGGGTGCAGTTGTCAGCTTCCTGAACCCCGTGGGAACCGAGTTCAATCACTCGGGCCATTGACAGACTCACCTATGATATAAGACGCCGGATCAAACCGATCTTTGGGACTGGCCATGGTGGGGATGAGCCACGTCAGCGCCGCGCTCTTCTCGCAGTACTGGTCCTGGATAAAGCCCCTTATCTGAGCATAGTATGTCTTCCCATCTTGTTCATCAACCACAGAAACAACATCTCCAATCTGATAATATACTCCCTGGAAAGATCAGACGGATAATCCTGTTACAAATTAACAGAACATAGCTCTGACCTCAATGGTGAGAAGCTAATGGCGGTCTTGAAATATCTGAAGGGCCTGCTTGTAGAATCAGGCAAACAAGGCCCCTTCGGACTTGGTGAAGGACAAATGTTCCTTAACCATGGCTCTGGAGGCAGGGGAAGTCTGCCCTTTGCTGGACATTTTCCAGCATGGGGTGGCAGCTGACCCAAGTCCTCGTCGTGTACATGACAGACTCAGATGACCTCCAGGCCTCTCTCAACTCTGAGACTACGCAAACCTACTTATGGTTGGTCAACAAGAGTGTGTTGGTACAGCATGTCACCCTCAAACTAGGAAGACTCCAATGGCCAAGACAATATGACTATCAACAAGAACTTGTACTGTAGAGCATCTTTTAATTTTCAAAGTAATTTCCTCCATTTTACACAATTTGTGTGTCACAACTGCACCGTGCAGTATCATAATCCCTGTTTGGGTAGGGGAAAACTATGCACTTCCAGTTCTAAGGCTCCTAAATGGTCAGTGACAGCTGAGGCAGGAGGCCACTGTTCTGGAAACAAATGGTGGTGCAGTGGGTAGAGAACTGGGTCTAGAGACAGGAACACCTAAATTCAAATCCAGCCTCAGACACTCACTAGGCGTGTGACCCTGAGCAAGTCACTTAGACTGTCTCAGTTTTCTCATCTGAAAAATGGGGATAACAAGAGCATCTACCTCCCAGGGTCATTGTGAGGGTTAAATGAGATAATATTTGTAAAGGCCAGCACACAGTAGCTTCTATAGATGTGCTAGCGATTGTTAATATCACTGACTCACAGCGTTCTTTTTCGTATTATTCTGAAACAGTGATTACCTCCTGAGAAAACATATTCTTCTCCACTAGGGCTACTGAAAATAAAATAAACAGGAAACATACTTTGGCCAGAAGTTTTATTGGGGATCTGTTCTACCTTCAATTTGTGTTTTTGTGTTTATCGATCAGATACTATCAAACAACCAGTTTAAAACTAGAGCAACATTATAATGGCATGTCTTAGTGATCTTAATGCAAGGCTCCTCTAAACACAAAATTAATTAGTTCTTGTCAGTAGCAGGAAGTTAATGTATCCCAGAAAGGAAAGTTAACTATTTTTACAATTTGCTAATTAACATTTATTTCACATCAGGACATAAAATCCATTTTTACTGGAACAACTGATATCCTTTTTCAGAAAGGTAAAGGTGGAAAAGTATATATACATGAGATGCATCACTGAAATGGAAGTGAAAATGGAGCATGTGAGAACTGAAAATGTGAGCACAGGGGCAGCTAGGTGGCGCAGTGGACAGATCACTGGCCCTGAAGTCAGGAGGACCTGAGTTCAAATCTGGTCTCAGACCAAACACTTGACACTTACTAACTGTGTGACCCTGGGCAAGTCACTTAACCCCAATTGCCTTAAAAAAAAAAAAAAAAAAAAGAAAAATAATAGAAAATGTGAGCATGCCTCAGTCCATCATGTGTCAGGTTTCTTTTTCTCTGACACTAAGCAGGGCACAAAGGAATCTGGCCTGGCAAGGTACAAGAGCACTGAGCTCCAGTCCTGGCTCTGTTACTGACTTGGTAAGGAAACAAGGCCGCCCAGTTAAATGAGACTGAGGACCCTAGGCCTGGGATTCTTCACGCTCCACAGGCCCTGAAAACTCTCTTCTGGTCTGTTCACTATCTCCACTTTTGTGGATGATGCAGCAGCCTAACATCTGGAGGAGGCCCTGTGCACCTTTGGACTGGCTGACACTTCCTTTGCTCCTTCTCCTGCCCACCTGTCACCATCCTTCTGTATTATATCTGTTCCATAGTCTTGAAATACACTTTCATTTTTAAGTCAACACTCACAAATGTCTCCTAGAGTTAACAAATACGTCCCCATATCTAAATCTTCTCAGAAAACTTCTCCTCTCCTGCTCCCTCTCAACACTAGGTCTGGGGAGGGGTCCCCTGAACTCAGAATCACCTTTTTGGTAAAGGGAACATTATATCATGAAGATATTTTATGAGAGAAAAAAAGATTATTCCAGCTTCAAACAGCTAACTATGCAGATCGTGATAATACAGCAGTCTTAATAGCACATTAAACTAAAGACTGAAGCCTTCATATAGAAAGAATTTATATTTACCTTGTGAAATATTGATTCTGCAGTAATGATGGTGGAAACTGCTTCAGGAGCTTTGATGGGCTAAAAGAAAAACACAAAACCAAAACCATCACTGTGTTTTTTTTTAGAGAGGTGCTGAGTACATTTTTTAAGCCCCTGAAACTAGTACCAGAGTTTGAGAAGTTGGGGTTTTGGTAGAGCTGTAAGGTAGAGAAGGAACCTCACCCCCTACAAAAGCAGATCTACAACTGTTCTGCATTTACTACATGGAGGCACAGTACCAAGTACTTTAAATTATTACCCCACTTGATCCTCACGACAATCTTGGGAGTGAGGTGCTATTATTATCCCCATTTGAGGAAACTGAGGCAGACAGAAATTAAGAGACTTGCCCAACAGCTAGTAAGTATCCAAGTCACATTTGAACTCAGGTCTTCCTGACTCTGGGCCCAGTGCATTATGTACCATGGTGCCTCCTAGCTGCACTGTGGGATTTTATCTGAAGATTATTCTTTTTGTATTTGTTGAGACAAGTACTTAATATATGAATTGTTTTTTTTTTTTAATTTTGGTGAGGCAATTAGGGTTAAGTGACTTGCCCCAAGTCACACAGCTAGTAAGTGTTAGCGTCTGGGGCCACATTTGAACACAGGTCTTCCTGACTCCAGGGCAGGTACTCTATCCACCTTAGCCGCTCCTCTGTGTTTTGCTTTTTTTTTTTTTTTTAAAGAAAAAAGACACTGTTCATTAATACTGCAAGTAGAAGATGACTTATAAAACGGCAAAAGCCAAGTAAAACAGTTTTCCACTACATTTTGCAACTCCTAGACACTAAAATGCAAAATTCAGTTACTGTCAAGGAAAAGAGGGAGCTTAATTGACCTTAACTCAGGGAAACAAGAGAGAGTTTTCATACTAACAAGCCACCATCCACTCTATAACTGCCCTACCAATGGGGACAAGGAGGAATTTGTGGCTACTTTTGTTTCTAGTTACTAACATACTATAGAAGAATATCTAATTGATTTAGACTTCATGAATTTGAAACAGGGCTTGAGTTCAAGTCTGTTTGGGGGTTACTACGAAAACATATAATGTCTGTAGAAAGCACTCAGTCAACAAACCAGGCTGTGTGAGTGGGAGCCCAAGTGATAGTTGTGACTTGAGCTCTCTCAGCCTCAGCTTCCTCATCTGTAAAATGGGGATGAAATCCTAGCACCAACCTCCCAGGGTTGTTTCCAGGATCAAATGATATCTTATTTGCAAAGTGCTTTGCACAGGGCCTGGAGCACAGCCCGCATAGTGTGCATAATGTTATTTTTATTACTGTATCGGTACAAACTGCGTATTATAAACAATATCGAGATAATACTATAAACCAAATGTTATTACTTCCACATGCACAGTATGTGCACATATATACACTAGCCCACACATGTGCGCAGATACACCACACACGCGACAGACACACGCGCGTGGGTATCGATACATATACATATACACATGCACATACATACACATACACACACTATCTGGATGCACAGATGTCTCCATCAGAATCACGCCCACCAGCCCTCTATACGCACCTGCGCAGTGGGACGCGCGGGTCCTCCCGGCGCCCCTCCCCCTCCCCCTGGCCGGCCCCCCCCTCCCGCCGCCCGCCGCACTCACGTTCTTCAGCTTGAAGATGTGCCTGCGGCCCTTGCCCTTGGTGGACACCTTCTTCTCGGCCGCCGGGGCCGACTTGTACTTGGTGTTCCGCAGGCGCGCCGAGCGCCGGTGAATCTCCTGCTTGCTCTGCCGCGGACACATCAAGGAGCCGGCGCGAGCCGCCGCCGTTAGCGGGCAGGGGCCTGGCGCCGGGCCGCGCCTCGGACCGACCGCCCCGCCCCCGGCCCCGCCCCCAGGCCCGCGCCCCGCCCCCGGCCCCGCCCCGCCGC